TGTCTTCATGTGATTAATGCAACGTTCAGTCAGAAAATAAGTAAAGGCAGTGGATGTGAACTGTGGACCATTAATGGTGGTAATGGTGCAGGGGTTTCCTTCACAGGCAAAAACAGAAGTAAGGAATGCAAGCAGTTGCAGTTGTGGCATTTGGGGTGAATGCAACTTTAGGCCACTTACTAAAATAGTCAGTAACAAACCTGCAGTCATAGGTCCCATGTTCAAATGGACCAACAATGTCGACCACAACAAGTTTAAATGGACCTTCTGGAAACTTGATGAGTTGCAAGGAGCAGGTGAAACAGTAGCTGTTTTATAACAAGCCTGGCAGGACGTGCAGAATTGTGTGGACAGTTTCATCTATGTGTGGCCAACAGCGCAGTTCTCTAAGGCGTCGTTTAGTGCGAACTATGCTTTCATGTTCTTCTAGGCTCTTGACTTCGTGACTCTGCTGCCAGTTCATTTCGCAAGAGGAAGTAAGGTTTGACTTCATCTAGAAGGGACTTTTTCACTTTCGAAAGAATGGTCAGTCTCAGTTTTGTTAGTTTGGGGCAATCCTCACATTCTGCTTTAAAATCAAAAAGTGGAAGTGATGTTAAGAGAGGAGAGATTTCAGCTAGCTCTGTGATGAAATCCTGTTCAGCATCTTCAGCTATGTCAGTGGTGTGCAAGGGAACACGTGACAGGCTGTTTGCCATGATATTCTGGCTCCCAGGACGATACTCCATGTTGTACTGGAAAAACATCAGTCTAGTTGACCAATGTGCAATCCTCCTGCCAGCTCTGTTCATCTCTTTAGTACTTAGCAGAGTGGTGAGAGCTTGATGATCTGTTCTTAGGGTAAATCGGTGTCCCCATATCTACGTCTTTCATCTTTTAACTGCCCATACTCAGGCGAGGGCCTCTTGTTCTATTGTTGAATATTTCCTCTCAGCTGGAGACAGGGTGCGGGAACCAAAAGCAATGATGCGCTCCATCACGTTGGCAGCTTTGGGTTGTAGATTGCAAGTGCTGGGCTTTTCAGGAGCATTTCTTTCAGCTTATTTAAGCTTTCATTTGCTGCATCGGTCCATTTTAGTTCAGCTACGTTATTTGTTCAAAGTAGCTGTTGCAGTGGCTCTACTACTGTTGCATAGTTTGGTAGAAATTTGCTGAACCATGAAGTTAAGCCTGCACCTTTGGTGCAGAAGCTTCAGAGATGCCAGTCAGCTGGTCTGGGTGAGGGCACAAGCCCTCCTTTAAAATGACATGTCCCAGGAACAGAATATGTTTCTGCCCGAATGAACTTTTACTGGAATTGATCTGCAGACCAACATTGGTTAGACGCTGGAGAACAGCCTGTAGATGTTCATCGTGTTCTTCCTTGGAATGCCCGTACACTATAATGTCATCCAAGTAGTTCTGCACTCCTGGTAGATGTTTCAGAGCTGTGTGCATCATCTTCTCGAAGGCAGAAGGTGCTGAAGCAAGTCACTGCGACTGTCAGGGTGAAGATGCAGTTGATGATAAGCTCAGGTTAAACATTCTGGCTATAGTGTGTAGCACCAGCCAGTTTTGTGGACAAATCCTCCATAAGAGGAAGTGAATGACCGCCCATTATTTCACTTTTATTAGGGTTCTCGCAGATCCATACCAGTTCCTCTTTTTTTTGTATGTAAATTTCCCATCTATATTGTTGATCTTAAGTGCTTTAATCAGGTCAAGCTCCAACAAAGTGGTGGCCTTCCAAAATCTGATTCACATCCAACTCCCTGCATTGATGACATAGTTGAGCACCTTGGGAAGGCAAGATATCTAACAATAATAGACCTCTGCAAGGGTTATTGGCAGGTACCACTGACTGGGCACTCAAAAGAGCTGATTGCTTTCTGGACCCCGCAGGACTTGTTCCAGTTTAAAGTCGTGCCTTTTGGACTGCATGGTGCCCCAGCAACGTTCCATACACTGATGGATCAGGTACTGTCTGACATATCTGATTTTGCTGCAGTTTACCTTGATGAAATAGTCATCCTATTCCTTTAAGTATTATCTTCTTGGATGGGAGTTCATATTGGAAACGGACCACAAGACTCGTCAATGGATAGAGAAGATGAAGGACACAACTGGAAGGATCACTAAGACGGAGGAGGAAGCAGGAATAAGTACAGTTTGTGTGTGTGTGTTTTTTACTGGGGTTACTGTAATATATGTTGTAATTGTAAACGACACAAAAATGCTATTTTCACTTCCTCGAACAAAGTTAACAGCGATTAACTACCTTTAAATAATTACCACATATTATCCCCCAATTAGTGGATAATATGTAAATTAAACCTCAACTTCACACATACAAGGAGGCAAGCAATACGTTAGCAAGAGGCGTTTTTCTAATGTAATTTCATATTTCTGTCAACTGCTGTAACAAAAGAAGTGCTAAATATGATATAAAGTATTTCCCATCTGTTTAATGTAATCAGGGATCTTTTAGAGTCTTTTATGAGATAATGAGTTCAAAACAGACACGGAGAGGTTAAATAAATAAAAACACCCACAAATGATATTGTTCTGTTTTACAGTTTTATTAAATTTTGCTCATAGACTTACTGACAAGAACATTGGAAAGAAAAACAATATGTACATTTCAGCAGCTGGAATGTTACAAATCTTTACCTCTGGACACTTGTAGTGCTATTAATTACATAAAGTTATGTGCAGACTCTTAATAATCAGTCACACACTACAAATACAGTGCTTGATAATGCTTGTGGCTCAGAGTCCACGATGCCTTTTGGCGTGGGGATTTTGTGCTCTCGCGCGTCCCATGAGTGAATCAGAGTTTCCTTTTTGGGTCGACCAGTTCATTCAGAGCATCCAGGTTCTCCCCCTCTGGAGCTTCAGGCCATGCACTGTGGTCTGGAGACAAACACAAGAATTTAGCTCCTCGTACTAAATCTAATATATACTGGGAAGACTACAGTGCAGTTGTGTTAGAGAGCTATACGTACTCGGTATCTCCCACATGGATGTATACAAACTTTGTCCCGCATCGACCTTCAACGTGGCTCCAGAAATGTAGGAAGCAGCAGGAGAGAGCAGGAAGCACACTGCAGATGAGACCTGGGCAAAGACGGCAATTCAAAAATTGTTCAGTACAGTTGTGCTTTAACCTTTCTCCTTCTATTGTATGGCTTCACAACTTCTTTATATCCTAATGCTGTTTATGGAGCACTGTGAGACCTTTGGGGTCTGGGTTCTTTTTTCGTTTTTCAGAATTAGAATTACTCCGAGTTATATGTTAAAGTCATTCTGTCTGTAACACATTTTAAGGAGACTTTTTTCTCTAACAAACCTCTTCGGGCACTCCCAGCCTCTTCGAAGGAGTGAATGGAACGGACATCTTGAAAAGATCTGGTCTATTCCCTTTATAGTTCTCCATCGCTGTTTTGGAAAAGATTTTACCCTGCAGCCAAACAGAGAGATGAAAATCATGCGCATCTTGAAAAACTGAAACAAAACGGATTAAGTGCTGAGCTGTACGCACAGGTGCAACAGCGTTGATTCGGACCCCCGAGGCTGCCCACTCGATGGCGAGACTCTTAGTTAAGTTATCCACCGCTGCCCTCGCTGCTCCTGTGTGGCTGTCGGGGAGGAGGAGACACACCACGCAGCAGGCAAATTAATTTATTTTTTTTTAAACTGTGTGACTTTGCAGATTTGTGTGTATATAATGAGGGAAACTGTTCTTACGCCGCGTCTGGGAAGCCGTTCCACATGTTGGCGATGATGCTGACGATGGCGCCTCCGTGCTCCTTCATCCATGCTGTGTAGACTGGAGGGGAGAACAATGACGGTCACGCTGAAAGACCAAACCACAAACACCAAAGCCTGTGTTATCTGTGCCCGGCTCACCCTCCTTGCAGCAGTGGAAGGTTCCTGTCAGGTTGGTGTCTACCACAGCCTTCCAGCCCTTAGAGGACATGTCTTCTGCAGGGCTGCTGAACTGACCTCCTCCGTTGTTCACCAGAAAGTCTATACGGCCATATCGCTTCAGCACTGATGACACAAGAGCCTTCACCTTCAAATGACAGAAAGACAAAAAGAAAATCAGCCACTTACGCACTGAAACGAGCAGCAGATGCAGAGCTGCTCACCTCCTCCTCGCTGCGGATGTTACAGGGCACAGCAGTGACACTTGCAGGACTGGAGGGAGGGATTTTCTGTCTCATCTCCCGAGCTGCTGCCTCCAGCCTGTCTGCCTTTCTGCTGGAGATCACCACACTGCAGCCTGAAGACCAACAAGTGAGCCACGAAAAACAATTACAGCACTTTCCGAAATAAAGCTTCGAGTCAATTTACTGTGAAACAACACTGAAAGCCACCAGATGTTTGGTGTTTCCAGATGTTAGCAAACACTCACAGCCACACTTTCACAGTGTCCCTGCGCGCACTTGACCGCGGTCACTGGTGCGACTCTTACAGACTTGTTTGTAACTGTGTCGAAGTTCACTTGCTGTCACTCAGCTGCTCCTCACTTCAGACTCTTTGCACTACAACAACTATTAGAACTCACTCACCCAGCTCCAGCAGCTCCGCAGAGATAGCTTTACCGATCCCGGTGCCTCCACCTGTCACTATTGCAACTTTATGGTTGAACAAGCCCGGTCGGAAAACACTGGAAGCCCCCATCCTTGTTGCGTGGTACCGCTGAGGAAAGCCGAGGGAGTCAGAATTTGTGATGCGGCATAAAGGAGCAAAGCAACTCAAATCGGCTCTCCGTGAACTCTACTGGTTCCAGTACTTCAGCCTGGATGTAATAGCACTGTTCACTACTGTGGTCCATGTTTTAGTAATGCTGACCGCAAAATGTATGAAGCTGTGCTTCCGTAAAGTGAGACGAAAGTGGAAGCGTGAATAGGGACAGTTTTTTTACTGGAATTATTGTGATGTTGTAATTGTAACAAACACAAAAATGCTGACATTGACGATTTTCACTTCCTCGGACAAAGTTAACAGCGATTAACTACCTTTAAATAGTTAATTAACATTATCACTGCATTACCTGCCTGGTTAAAATCACCGACCAATTAGTGGATAATATGTCAATCAAACCTCAACTTCACACATACAAGGAGGCAAACATTACGTCAGCAAGAGGCGTTTTTCTGCTTGCATTTGCTCTAACATTTATTTTCAAACGCCCCTTCCCTGTCGCCTGCTGTAAGAGCGAAACTAAAACGCACACAGGTCAAAACTGCGAGAACAGTTTGTAATCATCTACATGCTGTCGAGAGCTTACTCCCATTTCTAATAATGGGGATCACATTCTTTGGTTTCTCAAATGCAATTTACACAATTCACCAAGAACAGATGCAGGAAACCTTTGATACCACATGCTGTAACCTTCTATAATACAACATATCTGCCAGGCAGAGAATCCCTTTCCACATATTATCATTATTAGTACTAATGTCATTTCATATTCCTGTCAACTGCTGTAACAAAAGAAGTGCTAAATATGATATTAAGTATTTCCCATCTGTTTAATATATAATTAGACATCTTTTAAGACTCTTTTATGAGATAATGAGTTCAAAACAGACACGAAGAGGTTAAATAAAACAAATAAAAAATACAAGTGATATTGTTCTGTTTTACAGAACAATATCACAGTCTTTAAATTTTGTTCAAAGACTTACTGACAAGAGCATTGGAAAGAAAAACGATATGTACATTTCAGCAGCTGGAATGTTACAAATCTTGTAGTGCTATTAATTACATACAATTATGTGCAGATTCTTAATAATCAGTCACACACTACAAATACAGACTTTCTAACCAGGCCAGCACGGTGTGCTTAACAGTGTTTGTGGCTCAGAGTCCACGATGCTTTTTGGCGTGGGGATTTTGTGCTCTCGCGCGTCCCATGAGTGAATCAGAGTTTGCTTTTTGGGTCGACCAGTTCATTCAGAGCATCCAGGTTCTCCCCCTCTGGAGCTTCAGGCCATGCACTGTGGTCTGGAGACAAACACGAGAATTTAGCTCCTCGTA